ATATGTTTTTTGTACATCTTCAGTTAAAATCCTTATGCTTGTCCCTAACACTAGAATCTTCCTAGCTGAGGGGTAGGAAGATCCTAGCACAATGTTAACTGCTCCGTTTGCTAAGCAGTTTCTACGGGGGGTGACAGCTCTAACAAGGGCTGTTTCGGGAGAAAAACAAATTTATTCCGGGAATCTGGGAGATTTTGCTGGGAATCGGGAAACCTGGGAAATTTTTCGGGAAAAATGAGATATTTTCGGGACATTGAGCAAAGATTTGATATTACATGTTATCAAACAACATATATACAGTGATATGCACCCAGTGTATGCGCTGTATTCTATGTATTTTGACACTTGAAAACGGCTGAACTCCCCATGATATGAAAAGACCAATCAGCAACGTTTCCAACTAAAATAGCATGAAGTTCGAGTGCGATTGACCACATGCAATCCCCAGCGGATTGACACAAGAACCGTACCGGTGCAAGGCACATACTATCAGTTCACACCAGATCCCATCATTCATTAGTTCAGGGGTATTTTTACGCTGCACGTTAACGAGTTTTAAGAGCACATTCCACTGATTGCATACTGGAAAACTTGAAAGAAGTACGTAAGAAGTATGTAAGAAAAAAACGAAACTCATTTAACTTTGTTAAACACAAATGAGGCCATAAAAAGTAGTATGTCTGTGAAGACTCTTTAATCATCCTGATCTCGTCGGGTCCTTCCGATTTTGTTCGAAAATCCCGAATCCCGATCAATATGCGTTCGGGATAGGAAAATTTCAGATTTCGACAGTTGTTCTGAAATTTTCAAATGAATTCTTATGATACTCATACAATGACACCACACAGAGTATAGTACTTAGCTGAAAGTGATATCCAGAGCAATTTCAAAAACCGCACAACTTGTATAAAATAAAATTGACTACTTCTACGCGAAGTCACGCCAATAAAAATAAGCATGAAAAGGACAATTGATTTAGAGAACATTTTGGACAGAATTTGTCCTCTCAGAACACTAGAAATGGCGTTTCAGAGCACCAAGATTTCAAAATTTTCTGGGGGAGCATGCCCCCAGACCCCCCTAGTGGCTGGCCCCTTCACTGCTCGCCTGATTCATCGGTGATTAAAAAACAAAAAAACACGATTTTATATACTCAGAAAGTTTGACAGTCTTTCTGTGTTAACATGATGCCCTCCAAACGACAAAATAACTAAGGTTAGATAATTAACAAGCTACATAATTAAAGGAGCTGTGTCACGAAATTCAGCCAAATTAGGAAATTACAAAATGCCCGTTAAATTAAGAGAAACATAAAAATAACCGCTTAAAACTTTAAAGGAAGGTTAAAACAACATAACAGAAACAACAGATGCCACGGATGGGCAAAACTGAAGAAGATTGAAACGGATTGAAAGTAGGGTTTTTGAAAACTGTTCAGCCTAACAGTTTTGCTAAGTTGGTCCCTGCTGCTTGCAACTTCAAAAATAATGCTCAGGAGACATATTTGTTTGTCTCGGATCTCTGATCTTGTTATTTACATGTAATTTCTTTGCTTACTTTAAGTTCCATAGCGATTGAGGGCCAGTAATTGGCAAAATTGACCAAAATGAACTGGGCTGCCGTGACACAGCCCCTTTAACAAGAAGCTGCAAAAAACCTCTAATCAAAATTTTAATTTTAATTGTTAAAACAATTTTGGGAAGTTAAACATTTATGGGGAATGGCACCGAAAAATTCGGGAGGGTCGACGAAATTTCCGGGAGGACATAAAGTTATTCATAGGACTGCCCAAACAGCCTTTGTAAGAGTTGTCACCCCCCGTAGTTTCTCGCCTAAGGGACATACAAACCATACAAAAATGGCGTTGTATCGTTCTGTTTGAAAACTGCACGGACCAAAATTTCTGCTAGTAAACCCAAAGAAAAGTTGTTCCGCCTTCTAGGATCTTCCTCCCTCTATGTACTACACCCCTAAGTAATCGGCTGAGAAAGAGTCAACTCTGGTGATTTACATATAAAAAAGGAAAAAGAAGCACATATGAAATCCCGTAGCTTAATTCAAGTACGCCATATTCTAATAGTACCGTCTCAGTCCAGTTTCTTAACTGAGTACCGTATCCGTCGCCTGCTGAACTTGGCAAAAGCTTTCGCTTTTCAATGCGAAAGTTCGCGCAAGGAGATCGCTTGCTACGCAGGTAAATATCTAATAAAAACAGTTCATACGTCGTAATCGTATCACCTTAATTGTTGCAATATAAGTGCCAACCTCATTCCCAGTGTCCTCTACTATTCGGCCCTACTCCCTACACCTCTCTATCTCTCGCCACGGGGGCAGAGTAGGAGAGGACCCTGGGAACAAGGCTGATCAGGTATCTGAGCTCTCATGATTAGTTGGTCATGGACGACCTGACGATTACTGGAGTTCAAGCGATCTTCGCAGAACTAACTGCGCAGTGCACAGTTAGTTGATATGTGCATATTTCGGTAATGTAGGAGTTGTTCGTAAGGTCTTTCTTCATTCGTTCTTTTAAACAATGGTCGTTCATTGTTTACAATTGTTTCCCAATGTTTTCCGTTTTGGGTAGTAAACCGATTGGCTTTCAGCTTCCGAGCAGCTGCTACATCCGCATATCTGTACCTGCCACTGGGCCTACAATGGAGGACAAAATCCTTAGGACAATTAACACGATCTGCCTTAATTTTTCCCCCTTTCCCCCTCTCCCCTAAGCAATGTTGTAGTTTGTGCACCCCTGTACACTTTACCCTGTCCTAAAAGTGTTTCTTCATCCCAACATTGTTTGGAGGGGAGAGGGGAGGGCCAGTCGCGGTATCCAAGTGGTTAGAAAAGTGTACATTATGCTACATCTGAACATTTTGATAAGTTAAGGATGTGGAAGGAAGGTTTTCAATAACCGTTCCAAGGATTTTTGTTCTCCATTGTAGGCTTGCCTCGAGACTTTTTAAAATGCAAAATATGTCAATAAATGCCAAATAAATTGAGGTTTTGATCACCTGAACGAACCTACCATTAGCGGCCTGTTGAGGGACGGAGGGAAGGCAGGTGAGGGGGGAGGCGGGGAGAAGAGGAGGGGAAAAGAGTAAAGCTTTACCCAAGCCCTGCGGAGCAGGGCTCAAAATAACGCCCGCCGGCCAGCAGACAATGTCCGGCCAAAATGATCATTATTCGCATAATTCTGCAAATTAACCGAATTAACCCTTTTTTTGCGCAGGAATATCATTACTTTGCGCAGGAATTTATTAAAGCCGATGACGTCATAAAGTGGTGACTTCGGTTCACTGATTCTGGGCGCGTAAATCGTGCGTATTAATGAGGGTGAAGGGAAACTTGTTCTCTTCAGCACCGATACAATGTTTTCCTCACCCCACTCCCCTCCTGCTCCTCCACAATTAATTTGTTTCCCCTTTTTACTATAATTTTTATTATTATTTTCCCTCCACCACATCGACCCTAAATCGACCCTACATCGACCCCACACTCAACTTTTTTCAACACAGCTTCTTAAATAGTGAAGCTATATACAGCCACCACATTTCTATTGTTTTCCCTCCACCACCACCACCCACCACCACTACATTTCTATTCCCCCCAACCGCCACATTTCTTTTGATTTCTCTCCACCAGCGCCACCACATTTCTTTTGATTTCCATCCACCACCCCCACCATATTTCTCTTGTTTTCCCATGATTAACAAATGAAAACGTTTCTTATTTTCTAATTAACCAACCGAAAACCAAGACATGTATCGGCCTTGAAGTAACTAAAAATGTCAAACCGGTTAAACCACCGTAAAATAGCACATGGCCTTATCTTATATAGATTCCTCAGCATTTTATGCATGAGTTAAAGACAAAAGGCTATGACGTCATCGGCGTTAATATAATTCTACGCAAGTTAATGAGATTCCTACACATAAAGGAATTTATTCGGTGCGCCCTATACTACTTAAACCATCAGAAAATATGTTGGTTGCTTACGCTCTCACTTACGGAGAATGCAATAGAGACGTTCAAATTCTAAGGCTTTGTAAATACCACTTAGCCGGTTGCTAACTGCACTGCGTTTAGTAACATCACAATACGGTTTTTGGAGCATTTTCTACTAACAATAAAGTACATCGAGTTTTCATTGGCCTTTATTACTGACAGCCCCGCGTCACATGCTTCATATCGAGTGCCTCCTGCGAGGAAACGCGACAAACTGGAAAGAAAGCGTTGCAAGTGGGAAAATGTGCTCGCTCGCGTGGAAATGAGCTGCGATTTATTTCATGCAAACTGTAACTGCATACTTTAGTCCTTATAATGATGTAAAAAAGAGAAAAGCTAGCTATTCCTCGATTAAATTATGCTGATTTTTCTATTGCTGTGCCGTGACATATTAACAATCTCTTACTAAAAATACTTTCTGAAATAATCTAGATACCTGATTTTTCTTCTTTCGAACATTTTTACTAGATCCCAATCAAACATGGAGTACACTTTGAAACAATTAAACTATTTTAGAGCATGTTTCATCGCCTTCAACTTAGTTCCCCAAGGGCTTCGAAAAGTCTTTAAACAATAGTGGGATTTCCTTTTCAAGACAACTCCATTTGGGGAATGGAAAGATATTTCACAAAATGGCCGCGATTTCTACAACAAAGAATCACGAAAGAGTCACACAAAGAATGCGCGACTTTTAGCGACAATACAAAGGGGAAACACGGTGGAGTGGGATTGCAGTTGCCTGTTTTTTTGCTATTTTGCACTCGGATTGCATTGGCAGTACTCTTAGTCCGGCAGTCAGAAAAGAAGTTGACGATCTCAGACAAGTTCGAAATGATATCGCTCACTTGAACGAGGTTGAACTTACTGATGCTGAATTCCATAATTATGTAGCGAGAGTGTTAGCTGCTTTTAATTCACTGAAGCTTCCAATAAATGAAGTTGATGATATCAAAAACCAGACAGACTTTCCAACAGCTGAAGTAAATAGCCTTAAAATGCAGGCTGATAATCTTAGAGCTGACCTGAAAACCCAAAAACAAGACAACAAAAATCTAACATCTGAATTACAATTGACTCAAGCCAAATTACAGACAAAGCAGAACGAAGTGAAAACACTCGGCGAGGGTTTAAAAACCGTGGAAGAAGATAACAGAAATCTAACCTCGGCGTTACAATCGACCCAAGCAACATTACAGACAAAACAGGAAGAAGTAGAAACTCTCACTCAGGAAATCAATTCCAAAGTCGAGTCTTTCTGTACTCTGACATTCAAGCCATCACATAAAATCATTAAACGATCAAGTGATGTCACGAGAATAATGAAAAAACTGGACGAGCTTTACAACGAAAGTAATGGAGCTTTCAGCACCATTTATCTATCAGGAATTCCAGGCTGCGGAAAAAGCCACTGAGCTCGACAACTGGGACAGGACATTTTCGATAAGCGGTTGCATGAGAACGACAGTCTTATGTTCGTTGCAACCCTAAATGCAGAAACCCTAGATTCACTTGCAGAGTCCTATTCCAGTCTGGCAAGACATTTGGGAATAACAGAATACACTCTCACCAACCTCGAGACTTCTACAAAGGGGAACCCAAGAGAAAAAATCCGGTATCTGAAGCGAGTCATTTATCCAAAGACAAAGCAGTTCTCCAATTGGCTGATAATTGCAGATACTGTTGTTGACCTATCATTGGTTTGTAGGGATCTGCCTCCGACCGGTAGTGAAGAATGGGGCCATGGTCAGGTGCTAATAACTACTCAAGATAGCGGCTCAATACCCTCCAATGCTCCACTTACTTACCATGAGTCTCTTAGCAATGGAATGCATCCCGATGACGCAGTGAACCTATTACGACAAGTATCTCAGATTCAGGATCAGAACCAAGATGAAAAAGTCGCTGAAGTTCTCGAGTATCAGCCACTTGCTTTAGCAGCCGCTGCCTTTTATGTACAAACCATTGTGGTCAGTGGTTCTCCGAACTACCACTGGAAAGACTACTTGGAAGCACTTTCCCACGGCGAACGTGAAGCGACAGAAAAACTTCTTGCAAACCAGAACATAGCGTACTCCGAAACAACAACGAGAGCTTTAGAAAGTGATGACGTTCTTCGAGAAGTATTGTATTTGTTTTCTCTATGCGCACCTAATTCTCTTCCGATGGAAGTTGCTGTTGACTTTGTTAAATTACGTCTCACTGGGGAAACAGAAGAATTGATCAAAACTAAACTTTTCAAAGCCTCCTTTTTGTCCTGTTCACACGACAAAGACAGCTCATATACCTCTATAAGGATGCACAACATCGTTCATGAAGTGCTCAAGGCAGTTATAACATCTAAAATTGACCCAACAGATAGAGTTGAGTGCATTTCTGATGTTATCAAGATCTTTCACTCTTTCATGGAGGAGAACATAAATCGGTTACATTCAAGTAGACATGTGTTTGCTAAGTTACGTGTAATTACGAGTCACTGTAAAGTATTACACGTAATTGTTAACACCGATTTCACTAAATCAAAAGTATTCCTAACTTCAATCAGCCCTAGAAAGTTCGTGGCTTTCTCTAGCCGCTAATGTTTTCTGTAGCCCGTCGGATGCATGTCTTTTTGGTACGTCAATCTGTAATTTTATACATTTTCTTAATGATTTCAAGGAAGACAAATTGTTAAGAGCGAACATTTACAGCACACAAGGAAATGTTTACAGAGACCTTGGCCAGTACAACGAAGCTAAAGAATACTATGAGAAGGGTCTCATCATTAGAAAAGAGATTTACGGTGAAAAGCATGGTGACGTAGCAGCAGGTTACAACAACCTGGGAATAGTTTACAGAAACCTTGGCCAGTACAGTAAAGCTAAAGAATACTATGAGAAGGCTTTTACCATTACAAAAGAGATTTACGGTGAAAAGCATGGTAACGTAGCAACAAGTTACAACAATCTGGGAATTGTTTACAGAAACCTTGGCCAGTACAGTGAAGCTAAAGAATACTGTGAGAATACTCTCATCATTAGAAAGGAGATTTACGGTAAAAAGCATGGTGACATAGCAGCAAGTTACAACAACCTGGCAATTGTTTACAGTGACCTTGGTCAGTACAGTGAAGCTAAAGAATACTATATCTATGAGAAGGGTCTCATCACCAGAAAAGAGATTTACGGTGAAAATCATGGTAACGTAGCAGCAAGTTACAACAACCTGGGAGCCGTTTACAGTGCCGTTGGCCAGTACAGTGAAGCTAAAGAATACTATGAGAAGGCCCTCATCATTAGAAAAGAGATTTACGGTAAAAAGCATGGTGACATAGCAGTAAGTTACAACAACCTGGCAATTGTTTACAGTGACCTTGGTCAGTACAGTGAAGCTAAAGAATACTATATCTATGAGAAGGGTCTCATCACCAGAAAAGAGATTTACGGTGAAAATCATGGTAACGTAGCAGCAAGTTACAACAACCTGGGAGCCGTTTACAGTGCCGTTGGCCAGTACAGTGAAGCTAAAGAATACTATGAGAAGGCCCTCATCATTAGAAAAGAGATTTACGGTGAAAATCATGGTGACGTAGCAGCAAGTTACAACAACCTGGGAGCTTTTTACAGTGACCTTGGCCAGTGCAGTGAAGCTAAAGAATACTATGAGAAGGCCCTCATCATTAGAAAAGAGATTTACGGTGAAAATCATGGTGACGTAGCAGCAAGTTACAACAACCTGGCAATTGTTTACAGTGACCTTGGCCAGTACAGTGAAGCTAAAGAATACTATGAGAAGGCTCTCATCATTAAAAAAAAGATTTACGGTGAAAAGCATGGTGACGTAGCAGCAAGTTACAACAACCTGGGAATTGTTTACAGTGACCTTGGCCAGTACAGTGAAGCTAAAGAATACTATGAGAAGGCTCTCATCATTAAAAAAAAGATTTACGGTGAAAAGCATGGTAACGTAGCAGCAAGTTACAACAACCTGGGAATTGTTTACAGAAACCTTGGCCAGTACAGTAAAGCTAAAGAATACTATGAGAAGGCTCTCATCATAAGAAAGGAGATTTACGGTGAAAAGCATGGTAACATAGCAGCAAGTTACAACAATCTGGGAATTGTTTACAGAAACCTTGGCCAGTACAGTGAAGCTAAAGAATACTATAAGAAGGCTGTTATCATTACAAAAGAGATTTACGGTGAAAAGCATGGTATCTTAGCAGCAAGTTACAACAACCTGGGAATTGTTTACACAAACCTTGGCCAGTACAGTGAAGCTAAAGAATACTATGAGAAGGCTCTCATCATTAAAAAGGAGATTTACGGTGAAAAGCATGGTGACGTAGCAGCAAGTTACAACAACCTGGGAATTGTTTACAGAAACCTTGGCCAGTACAGTGAAGCTAAAGAATACTTTGAGAGGGCTCTCATTATTAGAAAAGAAATTTACGGTGATCAACATGCTTTGACTGAGTGAACGTTCCGCAGCTTAAAGAGAGTTGATTGGGAAATAAGAACTCGGACTGTTAATTACATTATTATCTAAGAAAAAAGGCCAAACAAATAGAAAGTATATTTCCTTTTTTATTTTTGATCAGTTGATTATTTATTGGGACCTTGTTGAATAATTTGAGGAAGTTCGGTGCACTTTTTTATTTTTGTTTTATGTTGTTTGTTTGTTTTTCATAAGAGCTTTTTTTTTTAAAAAAAGTTCAGCCTGAAATTTGCCAGAGTTTGAAGAACATGGTAAGAACATACTAGGGGCTCTGAGAAGAACAATTTATTTTTCACTGCTTTTTCTTTACTAAATCCATAAAATATAAATTACCTAATGTCGTACATGGAATCAGAGTGCATGTAAAATTTTGTTCTTTCAACACATTCCCATTGCGTATGGTCAATAATACATTTACTTTGTACTTGTACAATTCGTTACTGTGAAAACTATAATCATTGTCTTTAGCAATGTATTGAATGCTAATTACGAGCCTCCTGTCATCAGATCTTAATATAGATTAAAAGTTATCAGATTTCTCACTGAAATTTATAAAAAAATACTGCAACTTTTTTGATTTTAACAAACATCTTTCGACGGTACATCCGTCATCGTCAGTGAGACGGTTATTAAAGTTTTACAGCTGATAAAACGTGCCTGTTACAACGTACAGTATACGTTACATTGTGTTAGAAAACAATACGCTTTGTAAATTTAAAGCCAACAAAATCAATACATGCGCGTGCACACATCCATAGAGAAAGCGTCAGATTGATGTGTTAGGTCAGGCTTTTCCCACCTAATGTACATAGACTCCTTAAACTTAACCTGATACCTTTGTGAGGCAGAGACTAAGATGTTAAAGCAGTCTAAGCTACAGGAGGTAGGACAACACTCTCAGAAGACTACAAGTGCTTATAAACGTGAGACGATCTGTCCGATGACAGGTGCTCGTGCACGCGCGTGGAAAAGTGTCGGCTTGCTTCGCCAATGTAACAAGCGTTACAGCTTGCACAGGAAAATTTGTAGACGTTGTGCGTACGAAGCCTGTCTTCTAAAAATAGAATAAACAAACTTGATGACAATGGGTTTACAGAATCGGTTGATGGTTTGCGCACCCTCCGATGTGCAACACCCGAAAAATACCCGATGTAGATGATCTTGAAATAGTGCCTAGCTAACTCTACCTGACCTACACCGGTCGAAGGTCGAGTGTCGATCCCTTCTACTGCTTTTGTGGCGTAATGGTGGAGTAACATGTCTAATACATGCTCGGAATAGAGATTCTTGCGCAAAATAGCAAAAAATGTCATGTGAAAACTCAGCCACGTGTTATTAATCTTAAACGTCCTGTCAGTAACATTGATCATTAACAAGCTATCTACTCTTCCTAAAAAGTATAAGTTTTTCAAAAGGGATTACTCTAAGCTTGATAGTGAAGCACTTATATCTGAAGTTCGAAATGTGAATTGGTCAGAGGTTCTAGGTAGTGAAACTGAAACCACTGATGTCAATACAGTCTTTCACAATTTTTATGATCGCATTGCTGAAATTATTAATAAGTATGCTCCTATTCGTAAACTTTCTAGAAAGGAAATTAAGTCCCTATCTAAGCCGTGGGTAAGGAGGAGTTTTATAAGCGATTTATTGAGACGAGGAATCCATATTTTTTAACTAATTAAGGAAAGGGCTAGGTATGTAGTTTGTCAGAATCTTATATCATTCGCCACTTAGAGAAAGAGAAGGCAAATGGAGCCGAAATTCGCCCTACAATTGTTTCTGGAATCGTAACTCGTGACGCGCACGTCAGCTATTGGCCAATTTTTTTCTTTGTCCTTAGTAACAGTCCCAGAAGTCTTCACTCGATCCAGTTTTACTGTCATCTATAAAGTGACAAATTATACAGGAAATAGCGAGCCACTGACGTCCCGGACATGAATAGCAACCTGACGTTCCATGTTTCGCGAATCTGAATACCTTTGTTTCCACTCCCGCTGCACGAATAGGCCACTTTCGATATATTAAAATTTAGCAAGATAGCGAGTCTAAGGGGATACAAACAAAGGAAATGAATAAACATGTTTATCATTTTATTTCAGTTTGTGTCCTCTAAGACTCGCTATGATGCTGAATTTTAATATATCGAAAGTAGCATATTTGTCAAGTCTGAGCACCGAAAGAGAGAAAATATTCACTTCCGGTTGCCATTTTTGACATCCGGGACGTCAACCTTCCAGTTGCTTAAGGCCCCTAATCAGTCTCCTGTATACCATATTCTTCTGCTTGGTATTGGCTTGATAACAGGTCCCTATTGTGAATTTTTGGAACTTGCTTAGATAGACAGCGGGAAGACCTAGAAATCACAGGATGGACTCCTGTGCGTCTAAGATTTACCTCAGAGGTTTATCAGACTGGATAAATCAGACATCTCTTTAGAAAAATTTTAATGATGGGAACTGATCCCTATGGAATTGCGGAAGCTTCCAGTGGAGCAGTTTAAGGCTTTATCAAGGACTATATCATCTGGAAAGATTGTCAAAATTATTATGCATTTAAAAAGCCTAGACAACTGTATCACAGCCCAACTTAACACTCTCAGAGTCAGGGTAATAATTTTTAGTACTTCATAGGAATTTTCCGCTGGTCAGATTTATTTTCACAAGCAGTGTCTAGGTAAAAAATATAACACTTGATAAGGCAAAAAGTGCCGTATAAAACGCCAAACTCACAGATTGTGATGATGATGATGCTGATGCTGATGATGAAGATGGCGATGATGACGCCGACAAACAACTTATATATTACTAAATAGATTCTTTGTAGTCTGTTGGCTTTTTTCAACGTTGAAAACAAAAATGAACTTGTAAATATCAAAGTAAACAAATACCATCTCAAGAAAGATTATTTTTCATTAAGTGACAGACAGGACTGTGTCACTGACCGAAAAATCATCTTTCTCGTGTATTCACAGGGCTCAAACCTCACCATTACATCTACAACCATATACAACCTGATTTAACGCCCTTGAAAATAACAATGCGTATCTAATACATAAAACTCCAGTTACAAGTATGTTTACTTACATTTTAAAGCTCTGTTGTCAATATTTTTCACGGGAGTTTAAACACAAACGCGTTTGTCTTATCATCGTCGTCCACTGGCAATTTTCCTTTTGTAACAGTTTCCCAAATTCCTTCCATTTCCATCTCCTTCAGTTTATTTTCCCATTCCTCCATACACTGCTCTCTGATATCAAAGAAAGGAAGACCCCCCTAATAGAATGTAAAATACAAAAGAGATTAGAGGTCATAAGGGTCAAGTTTTGGTTTCTACTGTTTGAGTCTGTAAAAAGAATTCTGTGGTGTTATCATTCAAATAAAACATCTTTGGCAGTACTTTCATACGGTATGTATGTTTTTCAGCATTTTACAGAACGAAATTATTAAGTTGGATTTTGACTTTGATCAACTTTGCCAGTGAAAAAAATAAAACGCTTTTCAGTGGCGAAACTAGGAGAGAGGCCTGGGAGACCCACCCCCTTATTTTCAGATCAACAAAAGGGCTCCAGGGACAGGCAGACTCTCTAACCCCTCCCCCCTACACCTTATCTCAAGGTCCGGATAACCTGGGCCACCTACTATCTCATCTTTTTTTGTGTTTTCTCTGGTTCCCGATCCTATATTCTATATCCGATCTACTAGATAAGGAATTCTGCTTTGATCTCTCTACCTAGGACAGTCTTGACTGACACAGGATAAAACTTCCATCAAGTGTCCTGGAAACGTTTTAACTCAAAATTGCTACCATAAATTGGAATAGCAAGTTCTGAAAAATTAACTGAGCCTCTCAAATTGAAATGACCTCATGTAAATGGCCATAACTGCGGGTTAAAATAGAGAGGTTAAGCAACTGCACGGACATCGGCAAACTGCTGCTTCCCCTTGGACCTTGTCCGTCGGTAATCAGCACTTCATATGCTTACGTGTGGTTTATACTGACCTCAGTTTTAAACGAATTGTTTGATGTTAATTTGAACAACAGGTGTTTTCTTGCTCCCCTGCACTAATTCGCAGACGGATTTTACAAATGGTTTAGAGGATGCGAGGGCCGGCTGAAAGGCAGGTTGGAAGTAAAACAGCATTATATTGCTTGTTTTCGAGTTCGGTCAGGGCTTGCGATGCAGTTTGTCCATTAGACACTGCCGCTGTCACTGAATTATGGCGGCTTGATCTGTTTTCTTGCACTTCTTCCTCGTTCCTTTGTGCTGGTACGTTGTCTCCGAGAGGCAAATGCAGCTATTTTTTTCGGAAGGTTTAGTTGGAGTAGAGAAACATCTCTTTCAAAGGGTTTCTCTTATTACTTCCATGACTATATCACTGAATTATTATTTTCGTTCTACTACTCACCAATGTCGATATTATTCCAAAACAAAAACAACTACGTAAAACACGAAGGAAAATCTCATCCATGTCCCAGTCCACTGCATCACACCTTCTTGCTCGGACGAGCTCGTCTCACCACCCAACCTTTATCCGCCCTGGTGAAAATCATCTCGCAACGCTCCTCTCGTGACGACAATCTGGCGGCGTGTAGTTGACTTGCGTGACACTGACGTCAGAAAGGGAGCTTTGTGGTCTTATAAAGCACATCCCTACCTACCCCTTGTAATTTTAAAAATTGCGGACTTCAAGAAAATATTTTGTATAACAAGCGTTATGCCGTTGCCGGGTGGGTGCACGGTACGCGCTCCTCCTGTGCTTTTGTTTTCGCGCATCCTGTATTGCATTACTTTCAAGAGAGGATAAAGGGGACAGAGAAGGCATCGCCCATACACACCCTATTCCATAGGTAATTCGTCTCGAGTTATTTTTAAGACCACAGATCCCAAGGGGGATTAGACAACAGCCAATCACATAGCGCGAATGTGTTCCGCGTGGATGACCGAAGCTCAGAGCCACGCGTCCTTCACGAATTGCGGACGC